TCATAAAAAGTAACGAAGGGAAAAAAACTCGCGAGTGGCAAGCGAGAATCCAAAAGAAGCAGAAAAAGAAAAAAGGGAAAAAAAAAAAAAAAAAAAAACCCTCAGCCAAAGAGAGGATGAAATGCATTTTTGGACATGTCAGGATTCAATATTTACCTAACATTCATCCTACATTAAAAAAAAAAAACTAACAAAACTAACCTAGCATATAATTGGGTTTGATCTAGAAGACATGATTAACACTAAAAAGAAATTAATGCTTGGCTCTTGGCAACTGGCTCAGTCTATCTTGAGAGGTGGGGGTGGGTGATGGGATCAATTCCCTCTTCCACCTCTAGAGGTCCAACACGCTATTCTGTTCTTAATGTTTCCCAGTACAGTTGCCTTGAGTTAATTCCAACTCATGGTGACTCTATGTCAGAGCAGAACTGTGCTTCACAGAGTTTTCAATGGCTGATTTTTTTCCCAAAAGTAGATCACCAGGCCTTTCTTCCAAGGTTCCTCTGGGTGGACTTGAACCTCTAACCTTGAAGGTGTTAACAGTTTGCATCACCCAGGGACTTCTCTTATTGTTTACTTATAATACTGTAAATGCTGTTTTTACTAGGTTAAATTTTTAGCATCAATTTTTAGATAATACTTCCAGAACAAAATACATATGTTATAAACTCAACAAGGTCATAATATAGTTTATAAAAATTAGGTGTTTCCAGGGAAAATGGAGGTAGGTGGTGTTCAAAGTACAGGCAGTCCCCCGATTATAAATGAGTTCTGTTACTAAGTCTGTCTTTAAGTCAAATTTGTACGTAAGTCAGAACCATTAGGTATGGTTTGTATCTATTGTCAGTTAGTCAAATGTTTGTCTTAGTATAAAGTATATAGTCGGAATCAACTTGACAGCAACAGATTTGGGTTTTTTGGTTGATACCTTTCTATGCATAAAAACCATTAAAGAAACACTTCTAGATACACTAAAACATCTTTAATATAATACAGTAATAATAACAATAATGCTTTGATGTGTGTGGCAAAGTAGCACCCGTTATTATAAACCATCATTATGTACCTTGACTTTTTAATAACAGGCTGTATGGTGGTTGGTTCCTAACTATGGTTTGTACATAAGTCAGAGGTTGGACATTCCTAACACAAGTACTGCCTGTACACAATTCTTCATCTTTAATGAGGTGAATCAGATATGAGTTAAAGTTGGTAAATCAACAAATACGTCATTTAGAAAAATGACGAGAACAACCAGAAGAACGAGATAAAAATTGTTAAGTTACCTTTGAAAAATGGTACTGGAAGCAGAAGGGGTAAACAGAGGAAAACTTACTTTTCATTTTAGAATTTCATATACAATTTGAATTTAAGGAGTTAAAATATGATCAATGACACAACTATTTGACAGTATTTTATAAGATCAATAAAAATACTTGATCATATTATGACATAGGAAGATTTTATATACATCAAAATATAAGGTTAAGAGGAAAGAAACAAGATCCAAAATAACACAAGAGCATATAGAAAAGAAACAAAAAGCAATATTCATAGTGGTTATTCCTGTATGGTGGGATTATTGGTATCTTTGTACCTGACTGTATATTCCAATTTCTTCACAATAAGCACACAATGCTCTTATGATCTTTACCGCCCAGGGTTGTTAAGATGATTATATGATATAATGTACCCCAAATATTTCACACATTGCTCTGCGTTAATTATTTAAAATTCTTAATATAAAGGCAAATTAATCTGACTTTATTAGAATAAGAAAATGCAGACATTATCTAGATATTAACAAACAAAAAAACCTCATTGCCGTCTAGTCAATTCCGACTCATAGTGACCTTAGAAAACAGAGTAGACCTGCCCCATAGGGTTTCCAAGGAGCAGCTGTTAGATTCGAACTGCCAACCTTTTGGTTAGCAACCAAGCTCTTAACCGCTGTACCACCAGGGCTCCAGATTTTAACAAAGCACCTGATAAAGTTTGGTCATTCTAACATGAGCCAATTATGTAAGCATAGGTTAGAATGGCTAATAGTCTATTTAAGACATTTCTAGTGTGATATGAAAGGGATCTATATTTCTGGTCATGTCCTATTCAACGTACTCATTGTGTGCTTATCAAATTCATAGATAGCGTGAAGGGGATTGAATAATGAACGTTTGGAAAGACAAAGTATAGACTAAAAAGGGATGAGCAGGCTAGAAAATGTGCTCTCACCACTATGAACCAGGCTAAAGAACACCCCATTCCCGTTGCAAAATATTGGGCCTAATGCTCACTGGTAGCATCAAACATCCTAAAACCTCACTGAAAAAGGAAGAGAATCTTCACTTCCATCTCCAGGGAGATTGTTTTAACACAGAACTGGAGTTTTCACATATTCAGGAAGAGAAGCTCAGAACCCAGTTCTCATTTCTCAAGGATGACAGAGTATTGACAACCCTGTTCCCAATTTAGGGTGCATATGGTTGAATCCCACAGGGTCCTTAGCCATCAAAATGGTAAACAAAGTTTGAAAATGGCAGGCGAGCAAACCAACTTCAGTAAACCCCAAATAAAAAATGAAGCTATAAGCCACACCAATTCCTGAATATTTCTTTTCAACTCTATCTCTTGAGGAGCTTCACAGAGAATGCCAATATACTTTCAGAAATGGTTGTGGATTAGTAGAAAACAAAGTACCTACTTTCAAAGAACCATTAACAAGACAACTTCCCTCTAGATTTAGTTTTAGAAAACAAAAAAGACACGCAATAAAAACCTTATAGTCAGTTTGGGATGAAGCACATTTAAAAGTATACCCAAGTCTGTATTCCCATATGTAACATAGCAAATGATTTTCAAATGGAAACATTTCCCCTTACCTCAAAATAACACAAAACTCTCATCTATAAACATTGATTGGATACTATCTACTTAGATGACTACCTTCATTTCAGTCTCCATTCCTTCTAGGATTTCTGACACGGTTACACCATACTAAAGAAAACAGGGAATTTGTCACCTGACTCCTAAGACATGTTCAGATTCTTGATCCTTCTTTGTTTTGGCCTTTTTAATTTAACTGTTTATATCATACAGCCTTACCTTCTTTTCTGAGGATGGTCTAACTGCTGGGGCCCTTAAATACAAACCCATTCTTTGGGTAGAGTCCTGGCCTGGTCACTTGTGTGTACAAGTCCATCCTCGGTTGCATACTAAAATGCAAGTTAAAATGAACAGGATCAAAAGATGGACACGCTGTCACTATGGATGGTTAGTATTTCAACTGAATAGATCTACTGATAATATTAAAAGACATTTGGACCATAGGAAACAAGTAAGCACTGGTATGAGCCACAGTTATAACTGCTAATCCTAAGTCTTCACTTAGCATGCCATACTCAACATGTTTAAACAAGTCTTCACTTAGCATGCCATACTCAACATGTCTAAATACCATTAAAATCCCTCCTAGTATGGGAGTTAGATTGAACATGTGGGTAAAAACAGACATCATATCAGAATAACTCAAGGGACCAAACACTTCAGATCTTGCTAATAGTACAGTTTGTAGGATACCATAGATATAACTGGATATAAATCATTTGAGCACCAACTATTTGCAAGGTATTGTAAAATAAGCTCAATACCTAATGATCTCCAAACAATAAGGAATTTTAAATAGTGTTAGATATATTTGTAATAGCAATCTAATGATCTAAATAGGGCAGTGAGTGAAAGTCTTAATAGTGAGAAGCCCAAAGAAACAACAATTAAAGTTAGTACTTTGAGGAGAAACAAAAACTAGCACTTATTGAAAACGTGAAGCCATTGACAGTGAAGGGTAAGGCAAGGAGCCAATGAAAAAGTAAAAGCAATTATATAAAGATATCTGAAAGCCCATTTCAGAATAAGATGCCAATCAACTAAAACATACATACAAGTTTATCTTAGTGATAAGAATGATGCCCTCATACCAGATATTTTCATGTAGTCTGTCTTCATAAATTCAGACCTCATTCTCTCATTGATAAAAATGGGCATAACTCAGGTACTCTTACTTTACAAGACTGCAGATTTGATACCATCTTGCTTAAACCATGAGAATTTTTCTCTTTATAAAGCCTTGCTCTTTTTGACTTTACCCAGAAAATTAAGTATGAAAAAACACAGAGTTGGAGTACTTTTATTGAAGGAATTTTGCTGAGGGCAGAGGGCACATACACTTAAAAATTATATTTAAATCTATCATATTTATTAAAGGACATATGCCATTATTATATCAAGATTATAAAAAAAGACATTGTGCTTTTGAAAATTAGAGAGTCAAGAGATTTCATTCACTCAACCACTTATTGCCTGAGTACTTCATAATTAAATATGACTAATATTATAATTTATAATAAAATATTAGTCAGAATATTCCAGAAATCAAAGTAACACCTTCCATTAGATTAGCAACAGTGATAAACACTGTAGGTTAAAAAAAATATATATATATAAAGAGAAAAAAACACTTAAAAAAAAAAAAAAAAAAAAGACATCCACTGATTTTACCATTTTGTGACAAACCCAGCCATATCTAAAGAATTTGGAGCCCCACACCAAGTGGCTGTTACCTGGATAACTGAAAACAGGAAACAACAGGTAACAAGAAGGCATGGACTCTTAAAGACAGTAGAAAATACAAGCTTTAATGTAAGAGTGATATGAAACTAGGTTAGATATAAAAGATTCTGAATGCATGATTTTCAACTACTTCATCACTTGAATTACTGAAAAGAGGATATTCAAATAATTTGATATATTGAATATTTAGATAATTGAGGTTCCTAGATAATCCTAACTTGTTGATTCGGTGAATAAATTCCAAGCACTTCAGAAATAAAAACCAAATAAATGCCTTGAGAGGTAATAATTTTGTTTGATCTATATGCTTGTAGTTATACTGGATAACTCTACTTCAACCTTGAATGATTTTCCACAAGTTACTAAAAAGATAAACGGTTATAAACTGATGTTATTTTATCTCAGTTTTGGAGCATATCAATCTTTACTTATAAATCTAGAAATAATTCCTATTACTTGCTTTTGGTAAATATCTACAAAACCCAGCCATGACGTCCTTCATAACAGGAGAAATTTTGTTCAATTCCGTTACCGATTTGTGCATAAAACCACTTAATTCAGTGTTAACTTACAGGTTGAATAGTGGTTGGTCAAAACAAATTAAAAAGAAAACGAATTAAGCCGACCACTAAAATCTGACATTTTCTTTTCTTTGAAGGAAAAATAAAATACAATAATCAAAAATGTTTTCTCCATGAGATTAAACAGCCTTTATAATAGCTTTCAGCGAAAGTCTCTACTCCTTTCTAAATGACGATCTAATGATTCAGACATGAAGTTTGCAAAGTAACTTTTTACCCCCTCAAATGCTTCTGACAGGCAGCATAATTTTTAGAGAAGAGCCAAGCATATACTGACCTCTGAAAAAGTCTTACTTCTGGTAAGGGTGTGCTAAGCCAAACAGTAGTAACAAAAGATAGCTTTTGGTCCATCTTCATTCCTGTTTTTACTAATTGTCTTTATTTGTCAGAAAATATCCCTTTTACGTTAAAAGTACTTAAGACAATAGTGGCAATTGGTAGGTTTGGGGCACCTAACATCACCACTGAGATAATCTTAGTTTAGACCACAATCCTCCATGATTTATAGATGCCAAGATTGTAAACCCACTCCAATAGTGAAATTGCCTCAGCAGACAGAACCCTTATAATGCTGTAAACCTAAAAAAAACCTAACTCGTTGCCGTTGAGTCGATAAGACAGAGTAGAACTGCCCCACAGGGTTTCCAAGGAGTGGCCGGTGGATTTGAACTGCCGACCTTTTGGTTAGTAGCCGAGCTCTTAACCTCTGTGCCGCAAGGGCTCCTATACCGCTGTACTGTCCTGCAAATGCACGAAGGCTATTTTAATTTGACTGTTAGGCCTGTAACAGCATCTCACTCTAAAGACTCAAGTAAAGTTCAGTTCCAGGGGGAAAGACGACAACTTTTGGTTTTAGTGCAATAAAAAGACTACAAGTTACTTATTTTGAGAAAATGCAGAAAAGGATTTCAAACTCTAGGTAATTATGTGACTTGAAGAAGGAAAAGTATCTGCTTGTATGAGATGGCAAGGAAGAAGAGATTTTGCTCACTGTTAAAGAGCTCTTCCCAAGAAACTTCTCACTCTTCAGCTTAAGTCAGCAAACAGCTGACTGACAGACACAGGCAGTGGTAGAAAAAATTGCCAAGAGCAAATGTTCAATTCACTAGAATTAAGAGTAGATAATTTCTCACTGGATATCCTAAAGCTCGTTTTAAGGTGTTTCTATCTAAAGATTTATTGAGTTCCCTGTGGATTAGGCAGAGGCCCCTCAAGTAGTCAGAGGCCTCTGACCACATTTTAAATATTCACCCTAACTGCTTAATGTATTTTAATACTTTTTAGGGAAAAATTATGATACAGACTTTTAGGAAAACACCTTTTCAGCCAATCCTATTTTAAATGAGAAAACCCACACAGCTATGGGCTGTAAAGAGTTTTTACAAACTAGCTCCATTTTCCAAAAAAGCACCGATCAAGTTGAAAGAATTAAGACAGCACAAGCAAGCCCTCACCTTGTCAGGAGGTGAGTTTGAAATTAGCACCTACACAACTTGTCTCCCCTGGCTTTGCCTCCAGATCTTTTTGCCTTCATAAGCAGATCCATCAGCATATGTATACATGTGACTTTCAAAGAATCTGTTTTTTTCCTGGCTGTATTCTTTAGACAAGTCAATTTAAGTAATAAGGGCACTGAGGATTTTTTTCTTCTTCAAGCTACTGACCTGGTAACCTTGGAAGAAGTTAAGAATTTCCTTAACTCCAGTATTGTAGGCCAGGCCCTGCATTCTGACCACCGTGCCAGGCTGTGGAGGGACACCGCTAAGATTAGCAGCTGTAGGGAAGTAGCCAAGACTATTAGGCGAACCTGGGGGGCTAAAGGGAGAGAAAGCACAGTGAACCAATAGGAATGACAATGTTGAATATTTACTGTAAAAACATTAGTTACTTAAGGAAAACAGACTTTCAAGGTGATCTTTTTCACACTTCCCAGAGCTAGTTACCATCTCGCCAAAGACAGGTAAGGACACCATAGTGGTTCTGTCCCACATTTCCACAAAAGCCAAAGTTGAAGAATTAGAGAGGTTAATGCAGAGTTAAGTGCAGGGCTGTCTCAAAGACCCACCTCTCTCTGAGATTGAAAAGAAAAGAGGAAGGAGAGAATTAAGCCTTCACAGTTACTCAACCACAAAGCACCACCGCCAGAGTCCAGCTCACTGATGATTAACTGGATAGTTATCAAGAATACTAAGGTATGAAAAGGCAGGAATACAAAGGACTAATAGAAACCATAGCCACAGACACCAAAAGCTTATGAAGTGATTGCTTCCAAAGGATGAACCGTTCTACCATATACACAAGTAAATGTATATCACAATAATAAGACCACCCTGCAGCAAAGCGAAGTACTAAGAATAGGGCCCATGAGTCATTTCTTCCAGACTAACTATAAGGGAAGACGGGTTGGAAAGGATACATAGCAAATTAAATTGCTCACCATAAGATGAGGTGAAAATTATTGAATGGGTCCTCCTGATGTATCTTCAGCAGTTACATCCAAGAAGCACAAGTCAAGTGAACACCTAACTAACTGTGCAACTAGTTTCACCTCTGACCCCACCCAATCTATTTTCCACCACATTTAATGGTTAGATCCTCATAACTAAAAACAAAACTAAAACAGGAAAATTTAAAAAAAGAAAACAAAAACTCAAGATATTAGCTTAAGGGGCAATACAGACTCATGGCTTTAGATTATTAACCCTCATTTATCTAAGTAGGTACAGTCATGCACTGCATAACGTCCGTTATAACAGAGTTCAGAAATCCCAATTGGAGAACAGGACATAGTGGACTTAGGCATGTGGCACTCAACAATCATGAAAATACACAAAAAACAAAGAAAAAAATCTCTGTTAAAGTACCGGCTCCACTGAAAACTACAAGGCTAATGAAAATGCGGCAGGGACCTGTATCAGAAATTGCTAATGACCTGGATTGAGGACCAAGCACGAAAGCGAATCTCTCTCAGCACATTGATGAGCACTGCTAAGGCACGAAGTTTGTTCGAGATGCTTAAAGAAAAAGCAGGATCAACTCTAATGTTGAGTTTAGTGCTAGCTCTGGGTGGTTCAAGCGCCTCAAACCACATTTTTTGCTGCATAATGTGAAACTGAGTGATGAATCTGCAAGTGCTGATGCAAAGGCAGCAGAAGAATTTGTTGAAATCTTAGATAAACTAATTGTAGAGGGAAGTTATTTGTCCCAGCAAATTTTTAATATGGATGAAACCTCCTTATCCTGGAAGTCAATGCCTGAAAGGACCTTCCCCATCCATGAAAAGGTGTTCATACAACATCCAGATCACATAATGTCCTATTTCACAGAATGTATTGAGGACGTTAAGTGACGCATGAATTTACATTTCCAAAATAAGTAAACAAGTAATGAAAGGAACTAAAAAATCTTTTGTAATCTATTCTACATAATCCTAACTGATGGACTAAGAGAAAAGGTACCAGATGTCCTCTAGTCCCAGCCTCCTTTTCTTATTAACCTAATAACCTTGAACAAATCACTTAATTTCTCTGAACTTCAATTTCCTCATTTGCTAAGTGGGGATAATAGCACCTTCCTAGTTTGTTTCACAGGGTTGTTGTTTAGATTCAATTATTTAAGATATTAAAGTATTCCATAAACCATAAAATACTATCATTTATGTTATCTCTCTCTTTCCATCTCCAAAACTTCTACCCTATTTCATTATTTTGAAAATCTGGGAGCCTGAATGTATTACTTGGCATCAAGGTGCCCTTTACCTTTTAAGTCTCCAAAGCAGTGGCCCTCAACTTTTTGCATATTAGACTCATGGGGAACAATCTGACAACTCTCTACACCCAGAGCAGACGCCAATGAATTAAAAACCAGAAACTCAAGAAACTGGACCCCAGACATTAATATACCAATATGTTTTAAAGATCTCCAAGTGATTCCACTGAAAACCACTATTTAGAGATGAAGGTCAATTTATGAGCAACTGTGACAGCAGAAGAGAACGCTGAACTTTAGGTCTGTGTAGGCCATCAATGAGCCACACCCCCTCATTTTTAAAGAGGTTGAAACAGAAACTCAGAGTTAAATACCTTCCCAAAGTTCACACCCAGTTAACTCTTCACCAAACCAGAAGAACCACCCAGGTTTCTCAGCTTCTAGTTCAATGCATTCCCCTATACAACTGCCATTCATTCAAAGACTATCTTTACTCATGTCAAATGCCTGATACTGAGGCAAATACTCAGAGCCTCAAATACTACCTCTGTCTACATATTTCTTTACTAGCTACTCAGAGTTTCCATACTAGTTACAAAAGTCAGGTCATTCCTACAGTATACAACTTACTTTCATGACTATCCTAGCGTATTCTATTTCCTTTGCCTAAAGGATCTCCTATAAATAAATCTAGGGTCTCAAGTACCTTCAAAATACAATTAAAATAACAGCGGGATAAAAAGCCATACACTAGAAACTCAAGGATATGTTAGTCATATTCAGCAACTATAATAGCACCTATTTGGATGAAGCTTAAATACAACACAGCTTGGATTCCCACTATTATTTTTTGCAACTACAATTACTGTTGTGCAAAAGGCATCATAAGAAAATGAAATAAGGTATGTATCTTCCTGACAGGGCATAAGAATCAGAATTTCCCATCGACTTAAATTCTACATGCTAAGGCTTTTCACTGATTATTAAAGTAAGAATCAGCAAAAGTAATTAAATAAATACATATGACAGGCTATAGACTAAATAAGCTTGCTGTCTACAGAAACAACTTGTTATATGTAGAAAATCAAAAGGAACTTACGGAAAAAACTACTAGAACTAATAAATGAGTTCAGTAAGGTTATAAGTTACAAGGTCAACATGCAAAAATTGATTGCATTTCTATACACTAGCAATGAATGATCTGAAAAGGAAATTAAGTAGATAATTTCATTCACAATAGCAAGAAAAATAATAAAATATTAGGAATAAATTTAAAAAAAGAAGTACAAGACTTGTACAGTGAAAACTATAAAATATTGTTAAAAGAAATAAAGGATCATCTAAAATAAATGCAAAAATAGACCATGTTTTTGGAAGATTATTGATCTACAAACTCAATGCAATCACTACCAAAATTCAAGCTGGCTTTATTTCTTCTTTTTCTTTTTTCTTGTAGAAATTAACAAGCCAAACCCAAAACTTGTGTGGAAACACAAACTACCCAAAATAGCCAAAAATTCTCTTGGAAAAGAACAAAGTAAAAGGACTTACATTTTTCAAATTTAAAACTTAGTACAAAGCTACAGTAATCAAGACATTGTGGTACTGGCATAAGGATAGGCATATGGATCAATGAAATAGAATTGAGAGTCTGTAAATAAACTCTTAAAACTGAGGTAAATTGATTTTCAACAAGGGTGCCAAGACAATTCAGTTGGGGAAAGAACAGTCTTTTCAACAAATAGTGCTGGAGACAACTAGATAGCCACATACGAAAGAATGAATTTAAGCCCCTGCCTCACACCATACAAAAATTTAACTCAAAGTAAATAATATACAAAAGTATAGGCTAAAATTACAGAACTTTTAGAAGAAAACACAGGAGTAAATCTTCATAACCTTGCATTAGATATGACACTGAAAGGTTAAGAGAGGAAAGAAAAAATAGATAAATTGGACACCATCAAGAAAATGAGAAGACACCCAACCAAATAGGATAAAATATCTGCAAATTATATACCTGGTAAGGGACTTGTATATAGAATATGCAAAGAACTTTTACAACTTAATAATAGACAAATAACCCAATTAAAAAATAGACAGAGGATCTGAATAGACATTTCTCCAAACAAGATATACGAATGGCTAATAAGCACATACATCGTCATTAGTCACTAAGGAAATGCAAGCAAAAAAAAAAAAAAAAGAAAGACAACAACAATTAGAAAGGAAGTAGAGAAATGAGAACTCTCATACATTGTTGTTGTGTTGGGAATGTAAAATGGTGAAACCATTTTGGCAAAAGTTATCAAATGACCCAGCAGTTCCATTTCATGTACACGTACACACACACACACCAAACCCACTGCCGACAAATCAATCCCAACTCATAGGGACCCTATATGACAGAATAGAACTGCCCCCACAGGGTTTTCTAAGGTTATAAATGTTTACGGAAGCATACTGCCAAGCTTTCTCCCATATGGCAGCTGGTGAGATCAAACTGCCAACCTTTCAGTTAGCAGCTGAGCACTTAACTACTGCAACACCAGGGCTCCTTGGACATTGTATAATGCCTCAGAATTACTAAATATACATACACATTGCTTAGGTGGAAATGAGCTAATTTTAAAAGAAACGGTTATCTCAGGAAAGTTATTTTGCCACCATAAACCTTTTACATGGGTATGCAAATAAAGCATCACTCAAGAAAACAGTCAAACTTCTCCTATACCTTTTGGCTCCAGATGATGTAACTCGTTATATGTAGGTGTCCTACAAAAGGCAGGCAACATTTAATTAAGTTAATCTATCTTTCTTTAAATTAGATGATGTTCCACCTTATAATTCTTTTTCATTCTAGACTAACTTCTAGGATACTGAGTAACTGAAACCTTCTTCCAAGGGGGAAAGGAAAAAAACAAAACAAAAACAAAAACAAAAAACCTCTTTCTTTTATTTCATGTGCTTTTCAAGATGTTGTTTCAAATCCATGTTTAGATGGCTAAAACCAAAGAAAATTCTTTGGTTTATGTTTTGACCATAAATCTTCCTCAAGTAACGCCAAGACCTTATGATAAAAACACTACATTCTCAAAAGCAATACCCATTATAAAATATATCTCCAAAATTTTAACCATAGTATTTTAATGTTTTCAAGCAGGGCTTCTAACTGGTTAGTTCATTAACACCCCAGATATACTAAATCAGAATCTATAGTTTAACAAGATTCCCAAGTGATTCTTAGGTGTAATTTCTGGGGAAACTTGTTAGAAATGCAAATTCTTAGCAGGGGTTCAAACTAGAACGAATAGGTCCGAAGTCTTGTTTTCAAGTTAACACACTGACTTAATTTGAAGTCAAACTAATATATTTTATAATAAATTGCAGGGAATTTTTAATTTAAAAAGAGAGAATAAAAATTCTAGAACTTCTGTTTAATATCCTTTTTCAGGCTAGCGTATGCTGTCTACAACTTTCCCACTTGCCAAAAAATAGGCCAAAATATATTTGAACTGCTAACATCAGAAATAAATGTCAATAACAGTTTTTTAATAGCCTCAAATACCCTACAGTCATATCATGTTAGAAATTAGTGGTATATTGCCCAAACTGTAAATATTGTATTGTTTTGAAATTTGCTTTGTAAATTTAGCACTATAAATAAGAGCATAGAATACCCATGTTTGTTAATCTCACTAGAATTAGGGGAATATAAATTAAAATAATAAAACACATTAAGGGTTAATCTGGAAGTATTAATTTAAATATAATGCACATGTCCTTCAATTCCAAATTTTCACTTCTGTGAAACTGTCCTATAAAAATATAAGAAGTATTTCAGGATCAATATGAATTTTGTTTAATAGAGAAAAATTAAAACTTAGATGTCTACAAATAAGGGAATTGCTAAATTATAATGTATTTTTACTCTGGACAAGAATGAAGTAAATCTATGAACATTCCCCAGGAAAGAAGTCAACGACAGAATGGTTTAAGTTTAAAAAAAAAAACAAAAACAAGCACGTAGATACTACATGTTGAAAGTATGCCACATTTCAGAGGTATACACATTATCAAACAGTAATAGCTGTTACTTCTGGACTAGGAGGTATGTACAATGGGAGTTTACTTTTACTCACTATACTTCTAGACCTAGCAATGGGCACATTGCAAGCTTTAAAACTTGCTGTAGAAAAAATTCACCTACCGGAAGGGGCCCAAAATTACACAAGGTATTAAACCATCAACGTCAGTTCCTTCTACCTTGGGGCTTCAAGACCAACATTCCCATCTCACTGTGATGAGAAACTATTTCTAAAAGATTCCTGCTTTTAGCAGCACCCAGATAGCTAGTCAATGGTGAAACTGGATACTTTGCAAATGTACTGTAGGCACGAGAACTGCACCAGGCAATCAGAGTCACACTGCATTCCACTCCTGACAGTCTGATGATGTAAGAAAGGTAGACAAAGAGCTTCCTTATAACCAGAGCACACCACCAGCAAGCAATTGTCACAGGGTTCAGAAAAGGTGACAGATTGGGATTGGGGCTAGGTGCCCGACACAGTGCTCCACCATGAACAATTACCAGTGCTTCTGAGCCTTTTCAAGTCTTCAAAACACTGCCAGCTGACGACTATCATGGCTTTCTCCCTATTGTTCTTCCCCGGTAGAATAAAGAATATTTTCAATAGCATTAATGAATGTTTTAAAAACTAGCAAAACAAACAAATGTCGTTAACAGTGGCTACAAGCAATAATGAGAACCCCAAAAGTTCTTGCTCCCTACTCGAAAACTCTAGATAGTAGGGAAAGGACACACAATATATCATAGCCAGTGTAGGGATGAGATGGATTAGTTCTAGATGACTTATCAGAAAACAAACTGTATATATTTTCTTTTAATTTTGAGCAATACTGCTTATGTCAAAGTAAAACTTGATTTTACTAAAAGTGAGCTAGTTATTGGTTAAACAAAGATTTTTTTTTTTTTTTTTTAAACAGAGGTATCATATACATATATCCAAGTTAGAATCACAGGCAATCAAAGCTGGAAGGCACCCCAAAAACTTGACCAATCCCATCAATTTATAAGTGCCAGAAAGGTTAAGTGACTTGCTTCAGTTAGAAGAGATAAAACTAAAACTCAGGTCTCCCAACTCCCAGACTGATAACATTCCCCTCATTTTATATACTGCTGCCTCCCAGAAGTTGAGTACAAATAAAAAGAATACAATATTTAAAATATGTTGACTCCCAGAAAGAAAAAAATATTCAATTCTGGATCTCTTTACGCTAAAGATTTAGGGGGGAAGAACACAAGCCCTGTAAAATGTAAAGAAATGTTTTTCATTTATTGTGGATTAAAATATTAATTCTTAAAAATATAATTGTTCCCATTACGGATTTCCTGTTTTGTGATTCATTTACATTGCCACCCTGCTGCAATGATTACGGTGCCACTCACTTCTGGCCCTATGACAGGAAGAGGAAGAAAGAAAAGTTGTATACATGGGTAACCTCAAAGAGTATGCTGTCAATATATGGTTAAAAAATAAACTTGTATCAGTTTGTTTTGAAACAACCAGAAGCTATTCACTGTCATGCTAACCTTCAATGTGGGAGACAATATTCTTTTGTGAGCTCAGGCCCTGGCTATAAAAGGAGTCCTTTGTTTCTGTCCCTCAGAGTCTTACCTGGGATAGTATGCTGTGTAGTTCATGAAGAGCTGAGTGCCCGCTGGATAGTATGCCGTGGAGGGCTGCAGTGCTCGTGGATTCAAAATCACAGAAGGCTGATAAATGGCAGCTTCAGTTGGAATAACTGCTGTCGGAGCTGGAAATGTGTAGGAGGGAGGAGACAAGCCTAAATAAGCAAAAAGAGAGACTTTGAGACACATTTGCATCAGCTGACACATATGTGCTAATATTAAAGCCATAAGATCACTATATCATACATAAATTTTAAAGAAAGAGACCATCACAGCTCTTTACACCATCTCATGCCATTTCCGTTTGATGATATAGATAACACAGAAGTAATCTCAAAAGCCACACTCCATCAACCCAAAGAACTGCTCTTATTATGCAATTTGGAAAAACCAACATCAAGTGGATTTTGAACTCTACCATTTCACATCATGTATTTGTTTGTTTTTCTCTGCACTCCTGAATGCCAGTTACCATAAACCAACACTTTGAGGAAAGAAACATGGGACTTTCATGTAGTATAACTTCAAACTAAAATCTGTTTTTTTTTTCATTTGAGAACTGTACTGCTACTTCATTTTGTTATCTACCTTGTAGTACAGAATGAAACAGAAAAGGTTATGATGAAACGTTATTCACCAGTACCATGTATCATGCCAAAGCATTGACTGTGCCAGAGTGAGTGGACCTAAAAGGAGTACATCCATTGTGCATTATTCAGACCTAAAGGCAACCCAAGAGATTGGCTGTGAAGGTAATCTAGATCTTCAGCCCTGTAAAAAAAAAAAAAAATCCAATCTAGGAAATGGTCTTCAAGAAATAAACGTGCAAATCTTCCTGAAAGTTCAGATAATAAATCTTGCAAATGAGAGACTCAAACATAACTTTTTCATATTAAAAATCTCCAAAGTGACCTCATATTATCTTTCTTTTGTCCTTTTAATGGTTTTCTACATTTCTGTGGAGATAATTGGAGTCCCTGGATGGTGCAAACTGTTAACACACTTGGTGGCCAACTGAAAGGTTAGTGGTTCATGTTCACCCAAAGGCACTTTGGAAGAAAGGCCTGGCAGATCTACTTCCAAAAGAATCAGCCATTGAAAATCCTATGGAGCACAGTTCTGCTTTTACACATATGGGGTCACCGTGAGTTGGAATAGACTGGACAGCTAGTTTTATGGAAGTAAGTAAGACAGCTGAATATGGGTATATAGACCAAAGACCAAGAAATTGATCCCACATTCAACTTTTGGATGCTTCCTTCATACTCACCCAAAACTGTACTATATGTTAAATATCTAGGTTTTTTTTTTTAAGTTATGATTCCTGGCCTTAAAGGGCAAACAGGACAAATGAGGTACCTAATTCATATGGAAAATCATAAAGCCTATGTTCATGTCCTGCTTATAAAACTGCCAGGCAATTCATTTTAGCACAGTGCCTCATGCCAATAAAATAAACATATCTAATAGGTATAAATCTAAGGAGTACTGGTGGCACAATGGTTAAGTGCTAAGCTGCTACTAAAAAGGTCAGCTGTTTAAACTCACCAGCTGCTCCCCAGGAGAAAAGACCTGGCAATCTACAGCCTAGGACCCTATAGGGCAGCTCTACTCAGTGATATAGGGTCATTATGAGTAGAAATTGACTCAAGGGCACACAAAACAACCGCTGGTATAAATTTGTTCTGCCTTAAAACAGAGGAAGGTAGAAAACGCTGATAACCAAACAGATTAGACTATGGAAATTTGGGCATTTCTCAAACGTTAAGGACAACTATTCTTATATTTCTAAAACAGTATCAGATGTGTATACTCAACTAGAAAAATTAAGTTGACTTCAAAATGTTCCCTTTTAATGAATAAAACTCTGTAAAAAACATCAGTGAGATTTTTGACAGCACTTCTTTATCGAATTCAACAAGAAACTCCACAGTGGGGAATGATAACCAATCACCCTCTTAACTGAATTAGTCCTTGAGATAAAATAAAAAACAGATGCAATTTAAGTTTTACAGTTTCTGGATAATGATACAATTATCTGAAATGTGTTTTGGCAAGAAAAAAAGTCCAGCAGAACAGACGTTAATACTAGGATGTATAAATTGGAATTCTTATCAAAAACTGAGTAAACTCTTCCACTAAAACAACAAATGACCAGATTTAAGTTAAAATTTTTGCCCTCATTTTAGGGAAATTTGAAAGAAATTAAAGATAGGGAAACACATTCTTATGTGAAATACACATTTGAAAAATATTTCTTTTTACCACAACAATAAAATTTCTATCATTTTAGCGCTTGTGAAGGGGAAAGGAAAGAAATTAAAGTCTTGAGAAGAAAGTCCATGAAGACCCGTTTTCCTCTAGGAAAATGAAGAGAGTAAAAGGAAGAATATCTCAGGAAAAGAATTTGGATTATACATGATAAAGAAATTCCCTTATAACATAATGCTTGATGGATTATCACTAAAGGAAATCATAATGGTCAAAACACAATTGCTGATTTGTGGACAGGACACCTATGATTAAGATTACTTCAAGATATTCTTTTAAACCCCACCATATATTTTCAAAAACTGAGATACTCATTTATGAACAACTCTTAGATATACACCAACAGCAAGCAGCAGGTAAATGGAATATTAGCATTGAGGAATTTCAAGGGGGGAGAAAAGGATTAAGCCCCACCAAATATTCTACAGACTGTACTTGATTAACCAGGTTTATCAGTATGGATCCCTATTTACTAGAAAGTGATGTCTTAAAACTCCCCACTTATTGAAATCAAGCACATAAAATCCAATTTAATTTCTCAGTTGTCTTTGGACTGTATTCCAAGCGCTACATTCTATAAATATACCCAACGTGTCACCTAACAAGATGTCTTATTTAAAAGTGAAAATTATGCAAAGATGATCCAAGTTTTAATATTATATCCCCAAAATGTTCCTCAGTTACTAACCAGAACTTGGTCTCTAGACTAAAGGGCTTATTCCTCTCAAACAGGATTCCAGATGGCTTACACCCAGATGTCAATGAGCAAGAGCATGGCTTGAAATTAAGCACTGATCCTGTGATCCAATGGAAACTTTGGCTAATTTATTTACGCATTTATATATTTTTTTTAACTAACTTGCTCATTCCAGATATCCTGTAGAGCAATAGAAACGCTCTTCAGATTATCCTTTTCAAAAAATACTCAATCCCCAAAAAGTAAAAAATGCAAAAATGGGCATCAAATCACCCTTTAAAAAAGGCTTAATGTGTTTTTAAAAAAAAAGAAAAAGGATCCAGGCATACATACTCATAATTTTACTTATAAATGCGTATTAACATATCGACATAGCCATGTTGCCTCCCAGAGTCAGTGCTTATCTTGAGCACACTAAGCTTGAGAAATGAAGTGCTTATCACTGGAAAAGCAAGAATATAATTTGAAAGAAAGTATTGGTAGCATCTCTAATTGTGGGTATCCACAACCAATGATTACCAGATACTACTGATTTCAGACGGGAAAGCCTTATGTAACCACCCCACCTGCCTCAGAAAGAACCAGGGGCACAGAAAGTTATAAAAGCAGCTTAAGCACCTACCAGCATATAGCGTAGAATAGTGCCAAGACCCAAGAAAAACTTACATGGTAACTTACATGGCGGTGGGGATAAGCCATTTCGATTTAAAGTGCCCCCCATTAACACAAAGTTCATCTCCTCAGCTGAACACTGAAAGACTTCAACATATCTGTCCTTCATGGTTTTTTTATGACACTTCTGTGCAGCCATAAATGCTCTGTCCGCAGACTTCATCTGGATAAAGGCATCTCCTGATGGGCGGCCCTAAGTTTGTGGAGGAAGAATAAAAACAAAAGGAGACTGTCTCCCTCAACAAGGAAATGGTTGCTTATAAAACACGCAAAGTGACAATCACCCATAGTTCAGACATTGTGGCTGCAAAATCTGGGTGACAGTGTGATCTACTGAAATTTGACTTGCATTTCATCACCTAATCACCAGAATGGCCCACAAAACCTTGAAGAAACAGTTTTGAGAGCTCATAGTTGAAATCGATCCTTTTTGGTTTCTTTTAATTAGTATCAGATTTACTTGGTTCTGAAAGGATTCCCCCGTGACTGCGGTTTCAAAGTATAGAATTGTACACTGGGTTTTTTTCCCTTCTGAAAAATCCAATTTAATCTCATTGCATTGAGAAAAGCTAGTAACAGAACCAGTATTAGAGCTCTACATATCCTCCTAGATGAAACTATAAACAAATCAGTGTTCTCCTTGGCTCTCAGTCCTAGTCCATCACAGACTTTGCTGCAACATCCCGTTCACTTTATCCTCATCCCTGAAGCCTAGGTTGGAATGTGGCTTGCAGGGTAGGAAGAGGGTGTAAGAAGTTGGGAATAGCAGAGCCCAGTGATGGTTGGTGAAAGCCATATCAGCAGCCTTGCTTGGGAACCCTTCTCTCACCTCCTCCCTTGCACCTCCATCTTAAACTTCGGTGAAACAGGGATTTAAAGACCTGTCCTCTATGAGTAACAGCTTGCTAATAATCCTCTATTGAAAACCAAGCCTATAGATTTCTGTTCTACAGAACCAGAACTCTACAGACAATACCTCAGCTTTGCTTAGCATGACCATTTTACAGGAGAAAAAGACACACAGGTTTACAGGACTGCTTTTTCGTTTTATGGTTTTCTTTAAAAGTGTCTTGGGGACCATTTATCCAAATTATTACCATGCAAGTTACCATAAGAGCTACCATACCAGGCAAATTAGCAACAAACCCAGTCCAAGATAGAAGCCTAACAGCTAAGAGCCTTTCCATCATCAAAGAAGCATTTCTCCCAAGTGCAATCACAATAGGTCGTGTGGGTAAATGAGAGGAAAATCTGTCTACTTGTTAATTGGAGTGATAGCTCCTTGGTTATTAGAAATTGTGGGGAGGTTCCCCCCCACCCAAAAGGACTCTTTACCAGTCAAGCATACTGAAAGGGTAACTAGTCAAAAGAAAAGTTGTATAGCTTAATATTGACATCAGACTTGGAATGACCATGTGTTGTGTGGAAAGCCCAGCAAGGACTTAAGATGTTTTGATTCCCTGTACCCAGTGGCATGTGTTTTCCTATGAGATGGGACAGACTATGGTTATGAATGTGATTAAAGCTCCAAGTGAAAAGAAAAGGTGGGAAATTAGCCATTGGAAAAAATGTCCCTATTTCTAATACAAACTTATATTTGACCCATAATGTTCAGAAAACATCTGATTTTCAAAAATTAATACACTTTTGCTTTTAATAAAGAGTTTCAACATTTTGATTAGTTAACTACTTGGCTTATGGAGTTGTAGAATTCTGTTCTGTTTATAATAACACAAAATACTAGCAAAATATCCAGCAACTGATATGGTTAGCTCTACTTAACCAAAAAACAAGTGAAATCAAGCTGGTAGTCACATACTCAACTACTTCTAATATGCTTACAATATACACTTGCATACCAAAAAAGAATTTAGCTAGATTTTGAGAGGCTTCCTCTATTATTCATTCATTAATATACTTGAATGCCTATTATGTTTCATATACTGTTCTAAGTGAGGCAGATACAAGCCCTCATTGAGTTTATAAACAGTCTATGGATAGAAAATATTCTGGGACACAGCCATGTTCATTTGTTTCCGTATCATCTATGATTGCTTTCACAGCATAATGGCAGAGTTGAGCAGCTTTAATGGAAAAATGTTGTATAAACTGATGTGTAATATATTTGACTCCTATCTGATGCTATTGTTTAATTGGATAGATATATGTGATGAAGGAATCTGAGCTGGATTTGAATGCTAATAACAATATTCATTCTGTAGTTCATTCTAAAGCCTTCTTTCATTTAGGTAATTCTTTCCTTAAAAGAGTTACTATATTACTGAGGAATATTTGTACTTTTTTATTAGAAGAGAACCTTTGATAATTAGAAAGAATAAGCAAATAAGTTTTCCAATAAGAGACTTACTTACCTGGTGATTCAATACCATGTGAACCCCGTGAGTTCGAATATCTGTGGAGAATTCCCCCAGGAAGTCCAGGATGTCCTCAATTGTAGCCGCATAGGGAAGACCTCGAAGGCGTATACAGTCTCTAACATTTGTAGGAGGCACAAATTGCTGAGGTAGTAGTGGAATAATGGGAGGGGTTGGAAGTGGAATAAGAGGGGCTGAGGAGAATCGATTCAGCACCTGTACTCAAAGCAAAACAGAAGTGATTCAGAGCCTCGCTATGCCAATGTGTTCTGTAGCCCAACACTGGCATCACTAGAAACCTGTTAGAAATGCAGAATTTCAGCCCAACTCCAGACTTGATCGATCTGAATCTGCATTTTAACAAAATCCTCAAGTGATTCATAAACGCATTTGAGAAGTACTGATTAAGAAAGGGATTCACGCTTTTCAGCTGAGAAAGCACGACACCCACTTTTGTCAATACAGGACGATGCGTATAATATCCACAGAACAGTGAGCTTAGATCATGGGTTTGTTCTATACAAATTTCTCACCACCTACTGTGGAACCCTGTTGGCACAGTGGTTAAGCGTTTGGCTGCTAACCAAAAGGTTAGCAGTTCAAATCCACCAGGCGCTCCTTGGAAACCCTATGGGACAGTTCTACTCTGTCCTATAGGGTCGTTACGAGTTGGAATCAACTCAGTAGCAGTGGGTTTTACTTTTGGACAAGTATCCTGAAAGACTACAGCTTTTTAAAAAAATCTGTGCGTATCACTAAATGTGGACTTATGTAGCAATCTGTTAGATTCCATTTCAATAAATACATACATAGTGTTCTCCTTAATATTCTCTTTATGCCCCACTTCCAAACCAAAGAAATAGAAAAAGAATGACCTAGTAAAACCACCACAAGCCTAACAATGACTATAAAATGTACATGTTTAAGGATAGAAAGCAGCAGAAGGCACAGCATGGCTAATATAAAACTGTGGGGGTAAAAAACAGATTTAGTGACCATAAACAATAATTTAGTTTCCACATGAATTTGAGACAATGGCAAGACAGAGGATGTTAATTTCATAGGCTTCAGCTATCTTGAGGATAGGAGATAGTTTAGGTACATTTTGGAGAAAGGATTGCTCCTAGGCAAAACTCCTATTACAACGTTCTCTTGTCCACTTTTATCTTTGATTAGAGCATGCCAACTAGGCTCATACTAGGTGGCCCTCGTGCACCCACCACTTGTGGCATCCCCAGGTTTTCTGAACAAATTATCATTACAGCCTTTGAGGTTTATCCATTCCATAAACTGAAAATGTGGAAGAATTGATGAACTCCCTCCCAAAAATTTGCCCTAACTTCCTCACTCACACCCCGTCTGACTGCTACCTGAGAAAGAAGTGACCAAAAAAAAAGAAAAGAAATCAAAAGAACAAACACAGAGCAGTCCAAGCAATTTCATGACTAAGAGACAGGAAAACTTTTAAAGATTATCCAAACAACCCAGACACAGCAAAAGCATTAGGAGAAGAACAAGAATAGAAAATCAGGGTAGCTCTGGACCAACTAGGGATAGGAGATGGTCAAGTACCGTACAGTGCCTGGCACAAAGTACATGTCCAAGTATTTATTAAATGAAATGATTATTAGTAATGAAATGACAGTGGCAGAGTCTATGGCTACCTTAACACTTCTTAAATCAATGAGTAGGGATGAGGTGATGGGGAGGAAGCTCACCCACACTCAAAACTACCTTATGGCAGAGTCATGTCCAAATTACGCAGCATACCCTATACCCAAACTAAAAGTAGCCAAGGCCTTGGGGTAGCTCATTTCAGGGCATGATTTCCATAAATTTTCCTCTATTTAAATACCTAAAATAAAAGTTGCATCATGTTTTTTCCTCTAGCTTGGGAAAAATGTGTGAAATGTTTGAAATATATTTAGCTTAGAGATTCAGAATTCACGATACTCATTTTCAACAAGGTATACAATTAATCTAAAAGTATGTTAACCGTTTAGAATTTAAGAGCACTAGTACAATAGAACATACTAATTTTAGAATTCCTCTTTTACCTAATTCTAGGTATAAAAATCATTTTGGTATTCTTGTGGGCAAGCATTTTAAATGACAATGTACAATATGCTAACCAGCTAGAACTTACAGAAATAATAGTAAAGTGTCCTAAGTTCTTGAAAAAAAACCAAAAGAATCATCAAAATGACTGTTTTACTAAAAGACACAAGTAGGATTAATTGGAAAAGCTATGTAATGCCATCTATTTAATCTCAGTTACAGAGGAAATAGAAACTGATCCTTGATGAGAATTTCATTGTTCAGCTGATAAGTCTAAAAGAGTAGACAAAAAAGTTAAGATCCTACAAAGTTTTATACACATGGATCTTAGTACATTTTGGGGAAGTGATTACCCCATCTTACGTCTCAAAAACAACTAAATTTTGAAAGCTAGTATGAACAGGACCAAAAGGGCTCATCAGCAGCATATGAAACCGATCAAGCCATTTTAGATATAAATTTGGTAAGACGTTATTAAAAACCTTAAAAGCTCACACATGCTTTATTACCTATTCTTTAAAAAATCCAATCAGAAATTGATAGTTTTATAAGGATGTTTATGTAGGACTTTCTTATGGTAGAAAAAATTGGGGGAAAAAAAAACCCCAAATGCACAATAGAAAAATTTCTAAATTAATTACATATATCTATGAAATATATTATTTTAAAGATGAATTTTTTAAACACAGGTAAACTTTCAAGATATGTAGTTTTAAAGCAGGATACAAAAGCATATTTACAACAGTATTCCAGTTATGTAAAAACCCATAGTATTTTTTCCTGTGTGTATACCAGATAATAGTGGCTATCTTTTGGTTATGGAATCAGATTTTTTTCACGTACTTATACTTTCTGTATTTTCCAAGTTTTGTTTGAACACAATAAATAATGTCTTGTTTCCAGAACTAAATAATAGAAATTAACACAAAGCAACCAACATGCTTTTAAGAACCAACCTGCTGAACTTCAGCTGCTGTGCTCCTGAAGAGTTCAATGTATCTTTTACCCAACAAGTCCTTATGCTTCCTCAATGCATTCTGTGCATATTCCTCACAAGCAAATAGGACAAAAGCATCCCCTGTTGGCCTACCATCTGGGTAGGTTACAAAGAGAATGCCTTCTTTGCCCCCAGTGATGGGGCAATGCTGTCCAAAGAAGGCCACCACTTCTTCAGCTGTGGCCGTGAAAGGGAGCCCCCGCATTCGGACAATGACTTGATTTTCCTTGGAGAGAAACTGGGCTACCTCATTGGATGTACCTAGAGAACAGAAATATCAGGAAGCATGGTGAGAAACAGTGAAGACATCAATTTTACCAAATTATAAATGATAAAATTCTTGGCAAGCTCTTGAATTCATAATTAAGACCACACATCCAGTGAATTCATAATGACATAATCCTAAATCTGAAACTTTTCAAAAAACACCTTTTTAAATTTAGGAAGCTATCCAGACAATTAAATCATGGACCGACCGCCATATTCTTTTCATGGAGAGGCAGTAAGTCATCATAGTGGTTAAAAGCACAGGTTCTGGAGCTCGAATGACTGGGTCCAATCTTGTTGTTATCATTTACTAGGATATAAACTTAGTCAAGTTTAACCTCTATGCCTTAGTTTCCTCATCTATGAAATGGGTAAAAAAAATTACCTACTCCATAAATTATGAGAATCTGTTTAAGTTATACATATAAAGCACTTTGGTGGTTTTTGTTACTATTTCCTGGACTACTTAATAAAGGTTCCAATATTCTCAAGTAGAGAGAATGGTATATTGAATTCCCATGTACTCAAGCACCCAGTTTCAACATTTATCAACATTCTGCCCAACGTAAAGCATTTTATACAGTGCTGCCATGTAGCAAATACTTAAATGTATATCCTTCAAGCTCATTCACTAGTAATACTCTACCATAATAGCAAATTCTTATCATTATGCCCACATACTACGAAATCCCAGGCACTAATATGAACATTTGTCAGCTTTGCCACCTCCAATTTCCAATGTATCTACCATGGAACCCCAGGATTCAGGTAAGACCTTAGCAACTCCAAATACATTTTATCCCCACCCAATATCAAACATGGCAGAACTTTGGAAACTTCTAAACTTGAAGCCCTGAAATTTGAAGCCTTGGCATTTACCTAAAGAAATAAGTGCTTGAGCAGAAATATATCAGCAAATTGTGTTAACAAGATGCTGTTGATACTAGCTTGACAGTTGCACAAAGATTTTTCACCTGGACTATATAATATAGATATCCAAATGTTCTCTATATCTAAGCAAAAGTCACCCTAGTATAATCTGGCAATAGGTGCCAAAAGCATTTTACAAGGTCTACATTCTTTGATTCTGCTTTTCTACTTTTACAGATTTATCCTAATAAGTGGCACATATTCAGATACAAAAGTATTCACTACCACATAAGAGTGAAAAATTGGAAATAAGCTCTAAATGACCAACAAGGATGTCTAAAAATATTACAGTACATATAACACTATATAGCAATTAACATTTAAGAAAATTGGGTAACATAGAAAGATACTTAAATTATGAGGGAAAAGAAAGTTATAGGTCTAAATGAACAGATCAATAGAAAGTACTTGAATAAAAAAATTTGTGAGAAAAACCAGGTAACATTTTTTATGCATCTGTTATTTTTAGGTCTTAAAGTTATGAATTGAGAAAAGACTCTATCTGTTCCCACTTCTTTCTGACCATATTACTGCAAACACCTCTATCCAAAAACATTAGAAGTCACAAAACTACCATGTTCCTGGCCACTGATGAGTTAAAGAAGTTAAGAGAAAAACTAGAAGCAAATATTCTACAATTCTGGGTATTGAGGTGTGACCGTTTGAAAGTAGTTTCAGACTAATTTCTTTCAAGAACTACCCTTTGTATACTACTTTAAATAACCCTTTTATCTTTGTATAATACTATTTTAAATAGCTATTTAACTAAATAAAGTAGGATAACTCAAGCCTTAGGGCAAGTGTTATACATTAGTACACTCACTGATACTATTGGAATTTTCCTTCCTCTCATGTTTCGCTGGGAAATAAAAACCACTCATGATTCTGTTTATCTACCCTTGATGTTTATGTACAATTTTAGATTTGTATTACTGTAGCCACATTATATAAAAGGTACTTACCACCAGCAATTTTAAGAAAATCTTCACCTGTTGCTTTGTAAACCTAAGAAAAGAAAGGGAAATAGATTCTGAGCCTTCTGTTATATGCTAATACTCATTCAAGATGTCAAAAGTCGCAGGCTGTGATGACATACCTCAATGTACCGGGTCCCCATGTGATGTTTGTGCCTCTGTAGTGCTAGGTCTCTGTGTTCCTCACTTACAAACCTAACCAGAGCTTCTCCATTCCTCCGACCCTGAGCATTCAGACAAAGTGCAGCACCTCCCCTTTGAAAATAATAAAACAGATGGCAGGTAGAAAAGGAAATGAGGTGGAGGAAAGAAAATGAAAGAAAACCCCTTATCCCTTTGGGATTGTTAAGTAAAAGTAAGATTAAAGAAAACCAACTTGGCAATGTTGAGTCCTTTGAAGAATCTTGCAATATCTTGATCCGAAGACTGCCATGGTAAACCTCGTGCCCTGACTACAGTGTTATCATCGATAAGTTCCATCTTGCTGCTGTGAATTAAGCAAAACTTCAGGTTGTATGACTAATGCTAGCAGGTCTGACATGTTACCCCCTGACAAGGCAATTTGTCTAGTTACAGGCACTGGTATGAGTTATTTGGGATTCAAGCAGATTTAAATACCGACAAACTAACTTCATAACCTCAAAAATTCTATAGCCGTGGTTCAAAGTTATCTTCAGGTGGTTCACTATAGAAAGATGCTGCCTATGCAGGTGCAATACAGCTAGCTCACCCCACAAACCATCCATCCGCTGAGGAGCCGCTTGCTTGTCAAAACCTCAGGAGCACCCAGGACCAATTTATGGGAAACAAAGTTCTCCTAATACTGTCATAGCCTAAAAGTTCCTAGAATCAAGAAAAATAAGTTTGAATTTATTCTCAGATCTAGCCAGTACATAAATGGGGTTTAAACCTAGTTTCTAGGCAAAATTTAGGAATAGCACAGAGCTAGTAATTAATGCACATCAGGAACATGTGTATGTGGTCAGGGATCTGCCATCAAAGGATTTCCCTATCAAGTTAATGAGCAAATAGGGAAGGCATTACAGAGTATTTATGGAAATGCTTGGGTGTCCCCACACCATAATGAGTCATTTGCAAATTGCCTATTATATATTTTGACACCACTTGATGTTCTATTTCTCCCATGTGCACACTTTTCAGTACTCCTAGGACGTTTTTCTAATGACTCACTTTCTCCACAACTAAATAGGCCTCGAAGTCTTTCTACAGGAGAAGCTGTCAGAAGTTCCTGTTCACTTCAGGCACTGGGGCATTCTCACACAATTTACTGTGATTTACATATTTAAACAGGTCTATCTGTGATCACAAACAGAGATACCAGCACTTCATATTCCTCCCCAGTTATTTCCTTTCCTTTAAAGTCAAGCTGATAGAACACACTTAAAATTATCTCAGTAAAAATCTTATAAACTCTTTTAAAGCTTAAGAGTTTTCCTCTTCTGGAAGTTTTCCAGTGAAAGGATGGACAGTTCAAAGAGATTAAAAAAACCACAGACACAAACATATGATATACCTTGAACAAACATCAGGAAAAATGAACTAAGGTCATAGCATGACTAAAGACACAAATATTTCTTAGAAATTTAATCCTAACATCCAAGCTTACTATAACTAATACAATCTTCCTTTATATGTTGTGTTTACGTGCCATTGAGTTGGTTCCAACTCATAACAACCTTATAGGGCAGAGTAGAACTGCCCCATAGGGTTCCCAAGGAGTGGCTTGGTGGATTCGAACTGCTGGCCTTTCGGTTAGCAGCTATAGCTATTAGCCACTGTGCCACCAGGACCCCTCTTTTATAAATGACCTATCATTAAGAAATAGATAACTTGCTATATAGGATGAACATAGTATACTTGTTTCTGTAATAATAATAATAAAAAACCTACCACCATTTTTATAAAGAGAAGAAATGTATTCCTTGCACCCCACTCTGCTGCTTGGAATTATTTTAGGGGCCAAGCATCAAAATGTGTAGAAGTATGCCCTCACTAACTCAGCTCAAGGCAATGAGAAATACCACTGGTCATTAGAGAGAAAACATGATAGCATGAGGCTCAGAGGGCACCATATGGAGTCAAACAATCCTAGTTCCCAGTCTCTACCTGTGTCTTTCACTTCTGATGGCTTTGGGCCGGCTAGGACTTAATATACCTTCTAGTTAGATTATTATACTTGCCATGTTAGAACTATGGATTAATAACAAAAGAAAAATTTCCCCATATTTAATGTGTGCATTTGAAATACTTTTTATTTCTCTATAATACCAAATGGTTTAAGAAAGCTACTAAAATATAAGTGGAGTTAAACATCACAATGCAAATAAAAACAAAGCAGAAGGCCCAAATGGAATACTCAAGTACTCACCAAGTGCCACTTTCAAATTTGTAATTTACTCTCTCTGGATCTGAAAATTTGTGATCTAAAAATGAGAACATATAAGTCGTCATTTTAGCTATTAGAGACACAAAGCTGTAGAAGAAATTCAAAAGTATAGGTGAGGAAAAGATGAAATTTTAGGCCCCCGATGTTACAATAGCAATACTTACTATAAGGCTCTGAAATCATCGCTAAAATTATATTCCCCATATCTTCAACTTGAGAGGCTCCATATCGGGAGACTGAACTATTTTTCTCAGTATTCAAACCTGTGAGATTAAGTTAAGGAAATATTTTGGGGTGGTAAAATAAGGTTGCTTCAAACCCCAAAATTAAACTCATACTGAGCCAAGAAGCTGAGTGAAAAATACATGTAGATAGACAATGCTCTAAAAATCTCAGCACAACTGCTTCCCATCAGACTGGACTTCACATAAACTTCTTGAAGTCTCTGATTGTCCTCTTGGGTAAAATGGCAAAATCAATCTTGTCCTGAGGTATTACTGGTAATAAAATTCATGTTTATTGAGTAGTAGCAAATGCATGAAGGAGAAGTCCCTGGGTGGCACTAACAGTTAAGCACTCGACTACTAGCCAAAAGGTTGACAGTTTGAACTCACCATCAGGCACCTCGGAAGACAGGCCTGCTTCCAAAGGGTCATGGCCTTGAAAACCCTATGGAGCAGTTCTACTCTGCACACATGAGGTGGCCATGAGTTGGAATCGACTCAATGGCAACTAACAACAGCAACAACAAATGTTTGAATACTGAACACTTTTAGTTTTAAACCGCAAAGTAGGAAACAAAGTTAATTAAGCCTTCATTCTATCTATCTTTACAGCCCACACTAGGCGGTGACAATGCCTATCTAAAGATAATGTTTCATCAATCAAGACCAGGCAGTATTAAATGACTTTTTTTGGCATATTATTTAAAATAGACACTTCAGATTACTGATGACACTATTTCCATGATCTACCTTCACTCAGAACTTCCCCAAATACTTGTAGAGCCCCTAAGAATACCTCATCTTCACTAGCAGCAAATGTTTGTCCTTTGAAAGTAATTTTTTAAAAACAATTCAAACATTCACAGCAAAATTTGGCCAGTGTGGTCCTTGATCTACCCAGTACCCCATCTGGGTAAACCAGGAAACGAGACTTTAAGAAATGCACAGCTAAAATTGGGTTTGAAGATAGAACCAAAAGAGATTTCCATTATTTTAATAATTAGCAATCTTTCTAAAATAAGTACGTGTCTCCTTCAAAATAGTTACCTTAGGAAGCTAACATAGTCATTGGGGTGTTTAGTTTATTTTTAAGTTTCAGTGCTGTTATGGATTGAACTGTGTCCTCCCAAAATATGAAAATATGTGTTATAAATCCTAATCTCTATGCCTGTGATTATAATCCCATTTGGGAAAGGGTTGTCTTTGTTTTGTTAATGAGACAAGATCAGCGTACGGTGTGTTTTGAGTCAATCTCTCTTGAGATATAAAAAAAACAAAACAAAACAAAAAACCAGACCCGTTGTTCATAGCAACCCTATAGGACAGAGTAGAACTGCCCCATAGGGTTTCCAAGGAGCAGTTGGTGGATTTGAACTGCTGACCTTTTGGTTAGAAGCTGAGCTCTTAACCACTACACCACCAGGGATCCTTTTTGAGGTATAAGAGAGACTGAACAAGCAAGCTAAGGAAGCAGAGATGGGAGAAGAGAGATGCCAAGCCACGTGAAGACTGCTCAGGAGCAGAAAGAAGCCCAGAAGAGACAAGGACCTTCCTCCAGAGCCAGCTGAAGGAGACAGCCTTCCCCTAGAGCCGGCGCTGTGGGGGCTCCAGACTTCTAGCCTCCTGAACTGAGAGAAAATATAATTTGTTTGTTAAAGCCACCCACTTGTGGTATTTCTGTTATACCGGCACTAGATAACTAAGACAAATACTATAGTTACTTTTTATCTCATATAAGCATAAATTTTGTAATAAAGTACACCACACATCAGAATACTATGGGACTGTACCTTCTCACTCAAGTTTAAAATGAAAATACCCATCTGGGTGGTGGTTGCTAGCATGTTAGCTTAATTTATACAGTTTTCTGAATGGTATTTTATTATAAGGTTAAATAATTAAGACACACATTGAGAAAATGTCCATATGTAGTATTTTACTGAAAACTAAGAGGATAGAATGCTAAAACAAATCAGAGCTTATTCCCACCAAGAATGCAAGCAATTACCTAAAGAGTTAATTCAATGAGCAATATCCTTTTTCATTCTCAATTCGAAATCCCTTTCTAATTAATGTGCTAGCTTCCTCCTTCCTTTCTCCAGTAAAAGAGATATTGCTTTCCCATCATGCTAGCCAGATTCATTTTTGTGCTGTTCTTCAACCAGTTCCATTTTTCTGCAGTTAAACATACCATATGTGGAAATGCAGCTACATCTTCCTTGGCAAATTACTTACCCCTGAATGTCAGCTTACCTGTAAAGCCAAAGCTGTGACAATGTCTGCCTCCCAGGGATTTTTTGTGAAGACTGAATGAGATAAGACAAGCCCAGAACACAAAACAGGTATTTTAATAAGTGATGTCCTTCCCCTCCTTCCTAGAATCCTTGGGAGACCAGTTTCATAACCCATGCACGCAATGGATCGCTTTTGTGTGGCCTCTCTTGCCATAGGCTTGTAACTCCCACCCAAACAACTGGGTGGGACAGTGCAAATAAGGTAATTGTGGCCCACCAAGAGGATTGGTAAGCTTTACCATTGTGCTAGGCTTAAAATGAGCCATCCCAGAGAGGGAAGGAGAGGATCTCACCACTACCAAGGAAGGAGAGCCTGGAGCACAGCAAGTCCTTTGGACCTGGGATCCCTGTGTTGAGACCCTCCTGGAACCAGGAGACTGACAGAGCAAGAGCTGTAACACTAAAGCCAGAGAGAGGCGGTGGCAGAGAAACGAGGCAGGAGAGATGGGCAGGAGACGGCGCAGTGGGCTTCCCAGCCCACAGAGCAAGAAAGCTGAGTGCCTTTGGGTAGGAGGCTTGCTAGGGGTAGGGTGCCTCCAGGCACTTGGTGGAGCTACGATTGCTGACCCACAGAGCTAGAACTGAAAGTGGGGTGCCTCTGGGCACTAAATTGGCAGAGATAAAAGAAAATGCTGTGGGAGGGACAGTTGGTGTCAGAATTGGTAAAGATAGTGGAAAGAGGAGGCATATCTGAACTCCGCCTCATAGGAATCAGCCTTGGGCTGTTGATTTTGATTTTCCTTCCCCCTTGTGAAGTTTAAGGAGGTCAGATGCCACCCCTGAGCCATTTTTACAATCCATAAGGGTCAGACCTTTCTGAGGGCCACTTTTATGACAAAAAACCTGAACTTAGCAGATGCTTATTTGTATACTCTAATAGAATCATCACCAAGCTAAAACGTAGGTAACTGCTACATCTCCTTCTCCGCTTCCCCTTGAAACTTCTAGTAATGAAATAAATACATTGCCTACTGAGAGATTAGAAAATCAATCCTAGATGTTCAAGCAAAAGACCAATGACCACCGATTGGAGTCATTAAAATGACTTTCCGCAGAGGGCTGCATAGAAAGCATATATTAATCCAGCGCCATTTTCAAAAAATATAATTCTGGAGTAGAAAAATAATATTTACTCTTGTGAAAAGCAGAGCCAAAGGACGAAGGAGATTTGGGGAAGAAAACTGCCCTAAGTTTTCTGGAGGGGGGCAGTGGTGTCACTAGGGTTAGTGTCACCCAATGCCATAACTCATGGTGTAACACCCCTCATGCTAATTACCACAATATAGAATTAAAATACAATGTTGTCAATATTGTAGCTAAAACACTAGAAAATTTGACAAAATCAGCAACTATAAAAACACCAGCAGCAAGGAAAACAACAGCTTGTGCTTATAGCACCTGCAGACGAAATTATGTGATTCAAAGCATCACTGTAATAGGGTAATAATGACAACTCTAATGAGAGCACATTAGAAGGTTCAAAAAGTAACATAGCAAGAGTTTTAGCCTTGTAGGTATATTGATACATAAGCTGGGCTTATGAAAAAATTTTTGTTGTTATAACTACAGGTATACTTTTATAAAAAATAATATATTTCTGCTGAAACCCTGCACAAAAATTTTATAGACAGTCATTTTGGTGTCACCCCCTCCAACAGTATCACCTGGTGAGGTATGCACCCCCTTCACTCCCCTAGTGAGGCTACTCGTAGGTGGGGGGTAGGGGGAGTGGTTTAAGGATCTTCACAAGACTGTCTTAAGAAAGACTAGGCATGGTTTATTATGAGAACTCTGCAACCAAACTAGTATCTGGAACCCTGCAATTCTAATATTCAGTCATGTAGAGGGCCTACAATGGAACAAAGAGAAAAGTATACAAGGAATGAACACCAACCCCATTGTATACGCCAAGCACTAAACTTTGGCACTTTTAACATTGTAGGCCAGATAATATTTGTTGTAGAGTAGGGGGAGGTTTCTTGTACATTGTAGGATATTTAGTTGCATACTTGGTCTCTCCTTACCTCCCCACCCCCAAAATTGTGACAACTAAAAACATCTCCTGACATTACTAATGTCCACAGCAGGGCAAAATCACTTCCAGTTGAGAGTCACTGGTATAAGCTAATAGTTCCCGAGAAACAGCTCCAACTTCACCCCTTATCATCTCTCAGTCACTCAGAGACAGCTTTTACATGTAAGGGACTGTTACTAGACAGATATTTTGAAGGAAATTGGCCAAGAGAACACTCTATAAGCACCAGCCTGATGGTGTGTCAAAATAAGGAGGCATGTAGCCCCTTTCAGCACAAACACGTTAGGGAATGGGAGAAAAGTGCTAACTCAAAGTACAGGTTGACCCTTGACCTGTTTTTGTGGCTCAAACTAAATAGATTTTACACTTGTAAAGGGCTGTTTAAAGAAAAAAAAAAAACAGGATATGCACAGAGACCATATATAGCCCACTCATCCTAAAATATTTACTATCTGTTCTTTTATAGAAAAAAATTTGCTGACCCCTGACCTGGAGAAGTGAATATGAACAAAAGATGGCCAAATATAGAGAATGCTACAAGAAAGTTTATCATACCAAACTTTCTATCCCCAAATATAATATTTGGGAAGAATTAAGCTTTGGAGGACTATGAATAGGGGAAGCACACTCCATTCAAGTCACTTGGTCGCTTTTTTCTCTCTTCTGTATGACAGGAGACATGAGGCTTTCTCACCTTTGTTCAGTCAACT